TACTCAATAAGTAACTTTTTCCCTGTATCTTGGCATCCTACCGATTTCCTTCTTTGCACTTCACCTTTCGGAAAACCACCTGTTTGTTTACTTACTTGTTGTCTTTGTCTTCCACTAGATTCTAAGCTCTGAGAGGAAAAAAAACATGTGGTGTCTAGAAAGTGTTCAATAAATAATTGCTGAATGGATAAATAATAAAAGAGAAGTGAATGAGTTGGATAAAATGAGATACCCTTTTTTAAATCTATCCTGTTTGTTGAAATTTTTTAAGAAAAATACTCTGTGAGACAAGATGGGATGGGTACAGTCATTGTGCTGCCTGGTAAATTGGTGTTACCTTTCAGAGTGGAAATTTTGTAAAAGGTAGCAAGAGCCTTCAACATTCATGCCTTTGACCCAGTAATTTTACTTCTTGGAATCTGTCCTAAAGAAGTCATCTCTGCCAGAGGATGGGCAAGTTTTCTTCCTAGCTCTTCCTATAGTCACTGATATTCCTTCTTAGAAAAGGAGACAGCAGTCCAATTTGGCCACGTTTTATAGCTGTCTTTGGCTTCCCCTTTCTGCGCCCCTCAATGAGTAAGATGTGCGAAGGACTCAATCCTTGGCTAGGTCTGGTAATCTTGTATTCTAATACTCGCACAAAAGTCATCTGAGAGTTCATACTACTTGGGGAACCTCAATGTGCTGGTGGTAAATTTGGATTTGGGCTGTGGGGGAAGGCAGAGAGGCCCCGCTTAGCCTCTGAGCCAAAGGATGGTGCACTAATCCAGTTTACCAAAGAACCTTGCTCTGGAGTATCTAGCAGTCATCCAGATAAGAGTGGTACTTTGATTTCCCTTTGTATTCTCCTCATCCCCTGCTGTCCCCTCCTCAACCATCTTTTTCGTGTGTGTGTGTGTGTGTGTGTGTGTGTGTGTGTGTGTGTGTAGGGCATTTGTGTATTCCTCAGTTTTCTAGCTCAGTGCTTTCCTTCTTTTTCATGTCAGACACATACAGAAAATATTGCAGGACCAACAGGGATAATGGAAGGTGCTGCTTAAGGCCAAAGGCTTAATCTTCATGCTCATTGTTTCTAAAATATAGGTCACAAACCATTAGTGAAATCAATCAGGTGGGCTGCAACTATCATTAAAATAAGTGAAGATAATAGAATACATTATTCATAGTTGAAAGAATTATATGAGTATGTGTTTGTAACCTTGCCGTATGAGATGTATTTCTTATGTGGGTCACTGTCAAACTTTGAAAGCTATTTGTTCTAGCCAAATACCGATTGATAATGCCCCAAACTTCTCTTATGTTGCATCATTCTTAAATAGAGGGACAGATTTATGAACAGAGATTCAGGCTTAATATATTGCAAAATTGAAACAATGAAACATTATCAGGAGACTGCCTAAATAAATCATGATGACCTATCCTTTCAGGTTTGCTCAGATTAGTATTTTCTTATCTTTCTACAGTATTTGTGGGTTTGTAGTGAAGGTCCAGAGGTTAGCCATAGCTTTCTTAGTTCTTATAGAGTCAGTGGAGACTTAAGGAATAATTAGTGTACCATAATATGCTGGTTAGAGCACAGAGGACTTGGGTTTAAGCCCCAGTTCTCTGACAGCCTTGGACAGGGTACTTAACTCCTTTATGTCTGTTTACTCATCTATAAAATGGCGATAATAATGAGTATCTATTATTATAAGTTTGCCCTGAGTAGGAAATGCAGTAAGGTGTGCACAGTGCTCAGCTCGGTGCTTGGGCTCCCAGTGAGTAGAGTTAATTCCAGGCTGTTTGCCTCTTACGTTATTGAATCTCTCTCTTTGTGCCTTAATTTCAAACTTCAGCTCACGTTTCAGCTATATTATTAGATGCTTCTTGGGGAGATAAAAACTTCTGTAGTTGCTTCACAGGAGTTTGAGACAGTTAAAATCAGAAAATGATAAATGTGAAAAGCACCACTCAGGTTTGTGGTGGTATTAATTCCAGTAGTAGCAATAGTGGGAAACCTGTTTGCATTGCGTATGAGCTGATTAATAACTGGATGTCCAAATGAGTAGAATTGACAGTTGATTCAGATGGAATAAATAGATACTTTCACTTCTCTAAAAGTGCCAGCCTCTTTCCTGCCTCAGGACCTTTGCAGTTATTCCTTTTGCCTAGAATATTCTCCCTTGTCCCCACCCCTCATATTTGCATATCTAGTTCCTCCGTATCAGCTGAAACAATACCACTTTAGAAAGGCCTTCTCCGACCATCCAGTCCGAGGAGCTCTCAGTTGGCTTTTTAAAAATCACTCTAAAATTTCATAACATTAATTGCTTCTTGGTTCTTGATTTTGTTTTCTGTTTTCTCCCTCCCCAACTGGGGTGTAAGCCTTGAAGAGCAGGGACCTTGCCTGGGTTGTTGTTTATTTTTTTTCCTTCACTTAGATCACTGGCTAACAAAATAAATACTTGTTGACTGTTTGAATATAATGTAAAGTGTGAAAAATTATCCATAATTGTACTTCCCAGAGATAAATAATCTGTGTTGATACTATGGTATATAGTTTTCTAATTTTATTTTTTGGGCACGTGCTTACATATTTACAAGTGTCTATGGTTATGCATTTACACCATATTTCATTGAGTCTAAAGATGAACATGTTTTACCATATTTTATATCTCTGAAATTGGGATGTCATATAAACAGGTATGCCATGATTTAATTGGCAGCATTTTTCTTAGTGGCACCTAAAATGGTTATGTCTTAAAATCTGTAGCATCTTAGATTTGATGAAATGTGATATATATTTGAAACAAAAATGAGATTATGATGTTCAACTCTTTCCCCACCTAGGTATTTTGAGCATTTTCCCATATAACTATATTTAGATCTAACTCATTCTTAACAGATATCTAGTGTATTATTAGGGGTGTATCGTAAATTGTTCAGGTAATTCCTCTTGGTGGACATTTGGAGCTTTTTCCAATTTTTTTTCTGTTACCAACTGTGCTGTGTTGAATATCCTTGTACATATCTTTATGCACTTGGGTCACATTTCTTCTTTTTTTGTGTGTGTGTGTGTGAGGAAGATCAGCCCTGAGCTAACATCTGCCAATCCTTCTCTTTTTTTTTGCTGAGGAGGACTGGCCCTGGGCTAACATCCGTGCCCATCGTCCTCTACTTTATATGGTACGCAGACACAGCATGGCTTGCCAAGCGGTGCGTCGGTGCGCTCCTGGGATCAGAACCAGCGAACCCCGGGCCACCGCAGCGGAGTGTGCGCACTTAACTGCTTGCGCCACCCGGCCGACCCCTCACATTTCTTTTGATTAAATACCTAGATCAGTGGGTACACATTTTCTGTGGTATATAAGGGTGTCTGTTTTCCTGTATCCTCAGTAGTACTGCACCTTAGGAAATGTTTTAAATTTTTGTTAATCTGATAAGTGAAAAAATATCATATTGTTTTATTATCATTTTTTAAGTTATGAATGAGCATCTTTTCAAGTTTATTGGCTGTTTTTATTTCCTCTTCTGTGATATACTTGTGCATAGGACAGTAGACCTTTAATGGGCTGGCACACTTGCCCTAATTAGAAAGAGAAGCCATCACAGTTTGGAGCTATGCATTATCATATTAATTCTTGGAAATAACTTTCAGGGCAGAGCCCACACTTGTGAAGGGCAAGAGGGCTTTAGAAGACCCAAGATTGGAGGAGAGACAGAATTCGAGAATTATCAGAATTATGTCCTTTATAATGGAGGCCAAGAAGGGCTACAGTATTATCAGTTCGTGAGCTGAATCCTGAAACTTCCACTATGTTGTTAGTCTTGGAACTTTAAATGCTCTTCTTCTCTTTACTGTGATTTGGTTATAGTATAGTAGTATTAGGTTAGTAGGTCTGAATTAGGGCACACCTCTGGGACTTGAGTGAAGTCAATATTGGATCTAGAGATTAAATCTGTGATCTTTTAAGATTAGATTAATATGAGTTTTTTGCACATTGCCAAAATGTTCTTGTCAACATTTTTGAGCACCTTTGCTATGTCACATGGTGTCAGTTTAAAGATAGATATCAAATGGTCTGTGCCTTTTAGGTTCCACTGCAGCCTGTGGAGGAGACAGATTTCAGTCCTTTGGTAAGAGTGAAGCTAGAAGGTACATGGAATATGAAGAGCACAGAGGAAGGTGTTGAGTCTAATAGAGTTTAAAGAAGGCTTACTGAAATAGATATGATAACCTAAACTGAGTCTTGCAGGATGAGTAAGAGTTAGCCGGTAGGGTAGTAAGTAGTGAAGGATGCAACAGCGTGAGAGAAGACGTGGGTGGATGAAATGGACTGCAAGTAGTAGGGTATTCTTAGAATATAAAGTTTGAAGTGAAGAGTGACTTAGGATAAGTCTAGGGAGATAGACAAGAACCAGATAAGGAAGGGCCTTAAATGTCATGCTAAAGATTTTGTAGGTTAAGGGGAGGCATTTTGAGTAAGGGCCTGATCAAATTTGCATTTGAGAGATCATTGCCTGAAGACAGCTTTGGGGGGCAAGACCAACAGTAAGGAGACGTGTCGGGAAACAGTTCTGGGTATTCCAGGTGAGAGAATTAAGGCCATTGCTCAGTAGTAATAGCTTATTGGAAAAATCATGGTCATTTCCCTTAATTTATATAATATTTGGCCCTCTTGTTCAGAATCCCTCTGAGATTAAATTTCATGGAACTGGGTTTATTATTTTGCAGAGATGACTTATATTCATTGTCCAATTGTTTGTTGTTCCTTTATGTCTGTAAGAAGTTTACACTTTTATAAATACCTGCTTAACTAGTGTGGTGCTATAATGTAAATGGTTAATAAGTGTTTTTGATGATTATAAAAATTAGGTGATGTTAGCCCTTATCGTATGCTTAGTGATTATCTTAGAGGTAAACAGTTTTGGAGCATTTTGCCTTTGGGTAAAAGTAATGACTTATTAGATTAAATTTAGGTTATATAGTTTCTTAATTTATATGAATTTATAATTTCTATGTGCTAATTGGTTTTTCTTTTTTTTTTTAAGGCTATTAGCAAAAAAAGATGGTGGATCGCTTGGCAAACAGTGAAGCAAATACTAGACGTATAAATATAGTAGAACACTGTTTTGGAGCAGCTGGTCAACCCTTAACTATACCTGGACGGGTTCTTATTGGAGAAGGAGTATTGACTAAGTTGTGCAGAAAAAAGCCCAAAGCAAGGCAGTTTTTCTTATTTAATGATATTCTTGTATATGGCAATATTGTCATCCAGAAGAAAAAATATAACAAACAACATATTATTCCCCTGGAAAATGTCACTATTGATTCCATCAAAGATGAGGGAGACTTGAGGAATGGATGGCTTATCAAGACACCAACTAAATCATTTGCAGTTTATGCTGCTACTGCCACCGAGAAATCAGAATGGATGAATCACATAAATAAATGTGTTACTGATTTACTCTCCAAAAGTGGGAAAACACCCAGTAATGAACACGCTGCTGTCTGGGTTCCTGACTCTGAGGCAACTGTATGTATGCGTTGTCAGAAAGCAAAATTCACACCTGTTAATCGTCGTCACCATTGCCGCAAATGTGGTTTTGTTGTCTGTGGGCCCTGCTCCGAAAAGAGATTTCTTCTTCCCAGCCAGTCCTCTAAGCCTGTGCGGATTTGTGACTTCTGCTATGACCTGCTTTCTACTGGGGACATGGCCGCATGCCAGCCTACTAGATCAGACTCTTACAGTCAGCCACTGAAGTCTCCTTTAAATGATGTATCTGATGATGATGACGATGATGATAGCAGTGACTAAGGACATATTTTGAAATATTTAATTGGGTGTGACTATCTAAAAAATCAGCTTTGAGGGGAATGTAAAATTCTGAGCTCTCTCACTTTTGCTCTAGCCATGAATTTGCCTGAGAAACTTTTAACCTATGTGCCTCAATATATCCTATAGAAAATAGGTCCTGTCATCGTCCCCCTCCCCACCAACTCCGCACTCTTCTACAGGGATAGACTATTGAAAATATATCAGATAAATATTTTGTTTCTTATTCTTGTTTAATTCTAGATTATTTTCTTGGAAGGTTGGGGAAAGATGTTTATTTAACAGATCATGTACTACATTGTTGTTTATTATATGTTCTGTTACGTGGAAAAACTGAGCAAAGAATGATGGAAAAAGGAGTGTAATGTGGTTAGTTAATAATATTAGCTTTTTTTTTAAACCTTCCTATCTAATGGTTAAGACACCAGTAACAAAAATATATGCTTTGGAAATCCTTTGTTTGGCTTTTTCATATACCAAATGGTGCCTTATCACAGTAGCACTGTTACATGAAATAAGCCCCGACTTGCTCACTTTTCATTTTGTTTTAAAAATACACTGGTGCTCTTTGAGGTGATAAAATGAGTGTTGGTGAATGGATGTAATTGGAAAATACTTCTCATCCAACAGCTACCAAGTACTGAATTTAGAGGTTCTTCATTCTATATGAATATTTTCCATATAAAATAGTTGTGATTATATTTTGTTTTATAGGTACCAAATTATAATTTGTCAATACATATTTTAAATAGGTTGTCATTATTAGGAATTTGGTTTGAAATTTATCAAATATAGAATGGTCATATTGCATTAATTTCTACTTTTAGTAAGACATTTGTAGATAAAAATTCATCTGATTTAATATTATTTCTAAAATGAAAAATCTTATGAAACCTTTGAAATTAAATAATCTCTTAAAACAAAAAAATCCCATAATAGAGCACAGATCTACTTAGGCTGAATATTTGGAAGAAATAATGTGTAAGAAAGGTCAAGACAGACCAGTTAAGTTTGACTAGACTTCATACCTGTAGAAGTGTTATCTATTTCAGTGTGAAACTATCTTGAATTTACAAATATAGTGTTATATTTTATAAAGTTTTGTAAAGTCCCAAACAATATTTCTATTTTTATAAAACAATTGTATGTTTAATCTGTTTCTGAAATCATTTTACAATCTATGGAAATGGAGTAGCAATTGATCTTTCTAAATTGTGATCTTTATTGAGTCAGTGTAGATTGCTTATGAGAAGTGGCAGTTTTTCACTCTTCGCTTCTGAGGCAGCCATTAGGTTGAAGGTATATTTATGATATAAAACGTGATGCATTTTGCACAACTCTCCATTTGTATGCTGCAAATAACTACAGTCTTTCAAATATGAAAAATCAGTCTAAAGTTTGTTTTAAATATTAAATTCTTTTGTTTTTAAATATTTAAATCTGAACATATTGCAAATGTCATAAGAGTTGATTCAGTAACTTGTGCTGGAGGGTTCTTTGGTTTGGTTAAGGCGTTAACTTTACTGTTAAATTGTGAAAGCTCCTGAGATATATAGATCTCCCTGTAGGAAATGTGAAAGAAAGGCACAGCAGGTTTTTTGTTTGTTTTAATATCAGATGGACATTTGTTTCTAAGCAATATATACATATAATCAATCAACATATCTGAAAAGGACCATGAAACCTGAGAAGTGCTAATGGAGACTTCCTGGTACACGGGAACCATGGGGATGTTCTGAGATATTTGCATTGTCAACCTCTATTGACTCTGTTTTTACAATAAAAAATATTTTACAACTCACCTTCTCTTTTGTGCATATCATGACTTGATTTTTTCCCCCTTGCTGAGGTAATGGAAGTGGTTAAGTGTGTTTTGCCTCATTCAGCAGCTGTGAGTGCCTTCTATGTGCCGGGCATTGTTCTAGGCACTGAGGGTAGAGCAGGGAACAAAATTCCCTCCTTTTCATGGAGTTTACACGCAAATAGAATCCAAAGTTGTGTTTCTTCCAGAATTTTTTAAACTTTTATAAATCTTCATTATAAGGAAACCTGCAATGATTTTGGTGCTGATTTCTCATGCCATTCCTATTGAATGAAGTTTACTTGGACTGTACTGGACCACCAATATACCGACCAGATTGGTAACTGTTGGTGTAAAGGGAGCAAGGTTTTGTAGACACCAAGGAAAAATAGTAAATTGAATATACCTTAATACAGGAATTCATGCCCCTGGGTCAAGTGCATAAAGTGGCCATAGTTAATATAAAGCATTTGTTTATATATCTTTGTCACCTTTATGATGAAGTTCTTATAAGTAGGTAGTATTAAATTGTGTAACTTAAGAGTCTTGAAAGGTCCCAGTACTTGAGCTGCAATCTCCTTTCTCTTGGATATGCTAATTTTCTCAAATACACACGTTGTAGATTTAAAAATATGGTAACAACTACATATCCACAAGTATTAGATTGCAATACATTTTACAAGATAAAATTTAATAGTGAAGTCTAGGATGAAAATACATGAAATTGCATTTTAGTTCATTTTAAAGTCTTTATTTTTTTTTTTGAGAAAGATCAGCCCTGAGCTAACCATGCTAATCCTCCTCTTTTTGCTGAGGAAGACCGGCTCTGAGCTAACATCTGTTGCCAATCTTTTTTCTCCCGGAAGCCCCCAGTACATAGTTGTATATCCTAGTTGTAGGTCCTTCTAGTTCTATGTGGGACACTGCTTCAGTATGGCTTGTTGAGCAGTGAGTAGGTCTGCGCCCAGAATCCGAATCGGTGAACCCCAGGCTGCTGAAGTGGAACATGTGAACTTAACCGCTATGCTGCCGGGCTGGCCCTGATTATGACTCTTGATTATTGATAAACAGAATTAGAGTTGGGAACTGTTTCCTAATGAATTAGATAAATTCATTAGTGAATTTCCAGTCAAGTAAAATAGCAACGTGTTCGTGTCAGCCTTTTCTTTCAAGTCTGTCAAAAACTATGCTTTTGGGAGCCAGTCCTAATGGCCTAATGGTTAAAGTTCAGTGCTCTCACTGCTTGGGTGGCCTGGGTTCTTTTCCTGGTCGCAGAACACCACCATCCGTCTGTCAGTTGCCATGCTGTGGTGTCAGCTCACACAGAAGAACTAGAACGCCTTACAACTAGGATATACAACCATGCTCTGAGGCTTTGGGGAGAAAAAAAAAAACAGTAAGATTGGCAACAGATGTTAGCTCAGGGTGAAGCCTGCAAAAAAAGAAAAAAAAACTATGCTTTTGGATCTCCTGCAGACAGGCTCAGAAAACAGAAACATTCTTCCATATGCTGAAGACATGGTTGGTGTTATTGGGAGCTGCCTTAATATAATTTGGATCTGTCGTCCAATTACTGTGGACGAGAAAGAATGACTCAAACTATTCTGACTTATAAATTATTACAAAAGTATTGGTAAAATTTTAAAGTTTAGATTTTTTGTATAGATCATGCTTTCTTATAGGAATATTCTAATCACTTTAAGAAACCAAAATTCCAGAGCTATTTAAGGCAAACTTTTTACCCCATAAACATTTATTGAGCACTTTTAACGTGTCTACTACTGTTGGAAAGAATGACTTAGAACAGCAACTCATACTTTCCTTGATTTTCATGACTTTGATATTTTTAGAGATAGTGCACCAGTGATTTTGTAGAATGATCCTCAGTAGGAGTTTGTCTGACATTTTCTCATTATTAAATTCAGGTTATGCATCTGTGAAGCAGGAATATCACAGAAGTTATGATGTTTTCTCATCACATCAGCTGGTGCTCAATTTCAATTTGTCTTATTATTTATATTCACTTTGATCACTTGATTAAGGTGGTTTATCCCAGACTTTTTCATTGTCAAGTTACTCTTTTTCTCTTTAAATATTTTGTGAGGTGGTATTTTGAAGACTATGTAGATATCATATTCCTCATCAAACTTTCATTTTATTCATTTCTTTTGATATTAGTAGGGACTCATGTTTTCTTAGTTTGGTGGTTCTCAGACTTCAGTGTTCATGAGAATCCCTTGGAAGGCTTGTTAAAACCACCCCGTCTCTAGAGTTCCTAATTCTGTAGGTCTAGAGTGGGACCTGAGACTGCATTTCTAACAAGTTTCTGGGTGATGCTGTTGCTGCTGGCCCAGGGGCCGTATTTTATTACCTGTTATTATCATTTATTTTGGTGCTCAAATTTTCCCTAATTTGGCCAGTGGCAGGCTGGCCTCTGTGGCCTATTGACAAATCTCCTTCATTATTTGAGCCCTTCTTTACTTTTTTGCTACATGATGTTCTAGATAATCTTGAACTTTCCCTGTCCCAACCCTAGAATTGACCATTTCTTCAAGGAACCCTAGTTTCTTTTAGGGCAGAGTGGTGCTTAGAAGCCAAGATCTGGGCACAAAGTGTGCTTGTTGCTTTGGAGAAAGTACCACTCCCAGTCCCTTTCAGCGGGCAAATCTGGAGAATATAGGCATGCACATACATATATATACACATTTATATCTAAAAGTCTGTATTTCTATATTGAAACGCGTGACTTCATACTGATACTTCCAATTCTAACCACACTGTAGGGTTCCTCTCTGACAGTGAAAAACTGGGTCTCATTAGCTTTAATATATTTAAATTATTCAATCAGTCTCTATGTATATAGGTTATCTCTCGTCACCCCTGCTGCCTCTCTCCTGCGTGAGATACCCCCTCACCCCACTCAGGCTCTGATGGTTCAAACCAGGCTGCTCCTATATGGATGCCCCCCTTATCCCACTTAGGCTCCAACACCCCATGCTGGGTCTTCCCCACAAGCGGATGTCCTTCTCATCCTGTTTGTTTTCAAATACCTCGTTCTGGGCTGCCCTCACATATGGATACCCTCCACACTTGGGCTCCAGCATTCAGCAATGGACCACCTTTGTGGGGATGCTCTCCTCACCGTGCCTAGCTCTGACACCCCACTCTGGGCCACCCACACAAAGAACACTTTACCCTGTTGGGTCTCTGACTCTCCTCATGGAGTCACTCCCATGCCTGAGCACCCTTCTCACCCTGCTTGAGATTTGACACCAGGCCCCAAGCCTTCCCCCTATGTGGATGCCCTCCTCACCATGCTTGGGATATAGAACTATGTGCCAAGCTGCCCACATGGGAGGGTGCCTTTCTCCTCACTCTACCAGGCTCTGGCTACTCATGCCAAGCAGCTCCCCCGACGTGGACACCTTGCCCTCTTTGGGCTCTGACTCACTAACCAGGTTGCCTACCCTCCTGCCCCCATCGCCACACACGCACTCTCCTCTCTGGCTCTGGCACCCCACACCAGGCTGCTCCTCTGCACAGATCCCTGTCTTGCTCTGGCCCAGCTAATGTCTTTAGGACTGAATTGTTCAGAAGGAGAAGGGAAGGGCTAGGCACATGATAAAGCAGAAAGCAAGCAAGCCAGCCAGCAGGGGATTGTCTTTAAAACAAACTCATCTGGTAGTATACACAAATAAGACAGACAAAGCTAGAGCTCCGAGCTGCTCTGGCTGAAGGGCGGTTGGAGAGCCAAGAAGCAGGCCAGCCCCTCCCTTGTCGTCACTCACCTTGCTGAGAACCCAGGGGATTTGAAAACGACTGCTTTAAACCAAGTCAGTTGATACTTGTCATAGCACCCAGGTGCTTGGTTGCCCGAGATAACCTAAGGGGTTTGGAATTGTTCTTTTTTAATGATAATTGAAAAGTAAAGGTGTAAAGCTATTTTCAGAGCTTTAGTTTATAAATAGAAAATCAACTTGTTTTAGCAGTGTTGTGACCCTGACACAGAGTAGGCTCGAGGGAGGAGACTTATGACCTCAATTTGGAGGAGGAATTCATGAACAGAATTTATTGGATTTTAAGAGAGTTGTAGTGAAAAGAATCGAAAGTAATGGGTTTGAAGTACACAATTCTCCAGAAATTATTTGAAAATTTATTCCTGTGATATGAAAAATTATATACAGTTCTACATTTGTGTTTGAGCCAATGTCGTAAATCATGGTATATTTCAGAAAAATAATATATCTAAATAGAAACTTTGGTATTCACAAGTACAAAGGGAATATTGCTAATTAAGTGAAGATAATTATACCGAGTAACATGTCATTGAGAAATAGAAAAAGCAGAGCAAACTGCTAGAGCAAGGGCAATGAGTTTAAAAGAGATTATATTTTTGGAATACCTAGGTTTTTGTGAAAAGTAGTTTACTTTTTTATTTTTGAGGAAGATTGGCCCTGAGCTAACATCTGTTGCCAATCTTCCTCCGTTTTTTTTCCTTTTTTCTCCCCAATGCCTCAGTAGATAGTTGTATGTATGTCATAGTTGTACATCCTTCTAGTTGCTCTATGTAGGACGCCACCTCAGCATGGCTTGATGAGTGTTGTGTAGGTCTGCACCCAGGATCCAAAGCACCGAACCCCAGGCCGCTGAAGCAGAGTGTGTGAACTTAATTGCTATGCCACTGGGCCAGCCCTAAATCTAGTTTACTTTTAAATTGGTATCACAAAGCCTATTTTGGGGTGTAATGACTCCCAATTTCATAGACGTCTATCTTTTAAAAGCATTTCTTGGGGATATTTTATCTAAATCTCTGAGCATAGAAGCTGAAACCTGTGCTAATAAAGGTTTTTTTCCTTGTTGCTTTGCATGAATAAAAGAGTGAAAAGCATGTTTGATGTATAAATATAAATAAGTGACTTATAACGTTTTTACTGTTTTCCTGAAATTTGTATTCCATAATAGGGAAGCGTCAATGGTAACATCCTTAATAACAGTAAT